TTACTAAAAATTAACTACCTCCTAAAATTCATCTTTGGTTTTCATCCTGAGTATTTCAAAAAAATACACATATAATTTTAGTGTGATAAAATCTAGAAGGATTGTATAAAGATACAAATCCAAATCTAGATTAACGGCTGTCTTTTACAATTAAAAAACCCATGTCTAAGGTTAAAAATACTTCTTTTTTCTCTTTCACCCTGTTACTGTATGCTTGACGGCATTAATACCCTTCAGCAATAGTGCACATATGGGCCATACTATGAGCAAACAATTATGAAATTTTGATTTCATTTCTGAAACCTTGGCATGACTGCATACGCACACAATCTCTTCTGAAACATTACAGTAAAGACATCATGCTTTCCATCCTCATCTAACACCACCTTCATCATTTGTCTCATTTGCCTCTCCTGTGCCCTCCTCCTCCTTTCTCCCCCACCATCTTACTCCTCTCCTTCCATCCCTCTCATATTCCCTCTTGCTGTTTTCCTTCTTCCTTTCTCTGTACTTTCTGTCTCTCTTTGGTGAATAATTCATCAGTCTCTGTATGTCATTAATCACTACTTGTTCAAAGATATGATCAGAGAGAGAGACAGAGGGAGGAGAGAAGGGACTGATCTGTCAGCCTGAAGAACAAGACGCAGATAGGGAGAGTGAGAAAAAGGTAAATAGGAAGAGAAAACAGAAGAGAGTGGCACAGGAAAGGAGATCAGAGATATCAATGGAGGAAAGAGGGAAATGGATAAAGGGAGACAGAGGAAGGAAGGACGACTGCGATGAAGCAGTGGTTCTCAATCCGTGATATGCAGGTCACTGTGTTTGTTAAGGATTAAAAAAATAACTAAATAAACACATTTATAAATCTTGATAAATAATAGATTTCATTATAAATTCTAAATACTGCCATTTTAAATATTCAAAATATAAAAGACAAAATGCACCAACATTAATTAACTAATAATAAACACATAAAAATAATTAACTGTGTTAAAATTATGATAATATTTCTGTTGTCTCAATTCAATAAAATTACCTGTCAAATGTTTGATGCACTCTATTCAGGTTCATTATTAGCTACAAGATGTTAATTTTAATGAAATGTGAACAATGGCAAAATTATGGATTGCTAAAAGGAAGGCTATTTTAAAACAGCCTCAAGTTTCAAAGCCATAAACGGAGAATAATTTATATACTACTTAAAATGTAGGCAGCTGTTGTTTCTCCCCAGAGCAGGAGGGCCCTATCAT